GGGGGGAGTGGTAGATAAGAGTGACAGCTGACAGTGCAGCCCAATCCTCTGACATGGGACCTGGATAGAGCCAAGCTGGTTCTCCACCCTTACCTCTCATCAGGAAGCTGGGACACTAGGGAGGCAGAGGACCCTGAGGCTGGAGGCCGGAGTCCACTGTGAGCCACTGGGGCCAGAGGATCCTAGACACCACACCAACCTCCTAATCCACAAGGTATTTAACTTGATGGGAGGGAAGTCCTGCATGGAGTCTGACATTCAGACCACACTCCAAGAAGGCTGAGCATTGGTATTATTAGGTAAATGCACTCAGTTAAGTGTTGCTAATTTAAGTTGTTAATTACCTGCTTCTTTTTTTTTAAGTGGGGATTAGGCAAAGTGAAGTTGCTAGGAGGATTATTACCCTACTATAAAAACAAACATTTAAGGTGCACTATCTCCGAGCTTTATCTACTGACAGGCATGCTCTCAATTACTTCTCATGGTGATCCTAGAAAGTACAGCTGTTAACCACTGCTTTTAGCGAGAGCCAAGTCACTATTGCTTCAGTCCCACGGCTGAGATAAGGGGAAGATTCGTACACAGGACCGTGGCTTTTTTTTTTTAACTGCTGTTGAAATGCTGCCGTGCGATGTACCCGCCCACCATGGACATTGACAAACTGGCCTCTGTCTTATCATGGCTGCTCACCTCCCTCTTCCAGTCCCAGGTCTCCAGGCCCACATCACCTCAACTCCAGCCTTTCCTGCTCCCAGCACCTCCTTCTCTCCTCACAGACCCAACCGAGCTCCTTCCTGAGCCACACACACCTCCCACCCTCCAATGAGGATACCACAGAGCCTCAAATACACACATGGCCATCTCAGCCTGAGACGCCATGTTGAAAAATGAAGAGGACATGAGGACCAATGGGGTAGGGCAGGCTTGTGGAATAAATAATCGTAATTAGAATAAATTCATACATAGGCCAATAAAGAAGTGTTTTCAAGCTGAGGTCCCTTCACTTGGATATGCCCACTTCCTTAGGTCTTTTCCTATTCTTAGGACCATTTCCTTGTTCAAATTGTGTTTAGTTAGGTCTTTCTGGCTTTGTTTTTGTTTGTTTTGGTGGTGGCAGTGGTAGTACTGATTTTGAACTCAGGGCCTTGTGCTTGCTAGAGAAATGCTCTACCACTGAGTCATGCCTTCAGCCCCCTTGTTTTTTTTTTTGTACTGGTTATTTTAAGATATGGTCTTGCTTTTGCCAGGACCCACAGCTGGAGCACAATCCTCCTACTTTAGACTTCCTGTTGGGATCACAGGCATGTACCACCATGCCCAGCTTCTCCTGTTGAGATGGAGTCTCACAGATTTTACTGCCCAGGCTAGCTTGGAACCACAATTGTCTGATCTCAGCCTTCTAAATAGCTGAGCTTACAAGTCACTAGCACCTGGCTTAGTTTGGTCTTTTGCGACATCTCACTGTATATCCCAGGCTGACCTCAAACTCTCCATCCTCCGACCTCAGCCTCCTCCTGCTGAAATGATCGGTTTATACCACCACACCTGACTAGACCTCACCTTTATTTGGGGGCCTTTGCCATGAGATTCTTGCCCACAGATGTCCTTTTCTCTACCCTAATACGTCACCTTCTCTCCAGTTCTTCATCCTGCTGTCTACCCACTGGGTGCTTTTCCCTCAGCCCATTGCAGAATCACTTATTCACCTATTCACTCATGCAATGAGACTTAATCTATTTGATGTAGAATCCTGCTGTGGCCATATTGACTCCTGGCTCCACCTCTTATTAGCAGCTCTGTGACTCCCTGGGCCTCATTTTCTTAATGTAAGATATGAGTCATAATAATAGCCCCTACTTCACAAGGCTGGAGTCACATTACTTAACACTGTATACCTTATTGTCTAGTTTTTTGATGGATGCCTGGCACAGAGTAAACACACATACAGTATGAAGTATATGAATATGCTATGTATTTATAGTTTATCATTATGGTCATTAAAAATCTACTGTGTCAGGCTTTCTGAAGCCCCAGAAATGCACAAGAAATCTAAGAACTGACCAATCTAATGCCAATCTAATGGCACAGGCGGACACAAACCAGCAATTGCCCCGCAGTGTGACTAATGGAGGTGTGGCCACACACAGAGAAAGGAGAGAGTGATTGCTGAGGCTGGCTTGCGGGCAGCGCGCTCAGGAGAGGCCCCTGGGAAGTGGTGACAGGAGGGTCAAGCTAATGAAACCCAAATGTGCAGGAGTGGAGGTATAAACCTGGCGGTGTGTGGCTGCCTTTGCCGATGCTGGAAGTGGGGTAGCTGCTGCACACAGAGGCCAGGGCATTCAGAGACGCTCGGGACATAGCCCTGGTCGTGGAGGGCCTTACCCTCAGCAGTGGAGAAGTGGCTGATGGGTGTTGGCAGAGTGCACTGCATTCTGATCAGACCGCTTTGATGGACTGTGGTAGGCAGACAGGAGGAGACTGGAGGAGGCTGATTCTCTGTGAAGCCTCAGGGCAGCATGGCGTCCAGCCAGCTAATCTTACCAGTACCTTCGGGCCCTAGCTTTGGTGGGACAGCTGCCCATGATACCTTACACATCTGCTCCAGATCCTCAAATGACAGTCCATCAGGCCCTATAGATCTACCCTCACTCCCTCCTGCTGCAATTCCTGCTCTGGATTCTTACTGGCTGGCCACACTCATCTTCGTTCTCTCCCTGGCAACAGACTCACTCTTGCCAAAGCCTTAGCTCCCAGCCCAGCTGGCTGAGACCAGAATGAGCCCATCCCTTTCCCCTCAGCCTCCCCGCCCCACCTCCTGGGACTCCAGTTGCCTGGCTGAGACTTGCCCTGTCCCATTTTCCCATCGATGACTCATGGATCAGGCGGGGGTGAGGCCAGGGCTGCCAGGGCCAGGCCAGTCAGTGGCGAAGGCCCCTCCCTGGCCGCCCGGCATCCTCTGGCACCACTGAACAAAGTTTTTCCATCCCATGCATGCTGCTGCCACTGTCTGGGCTTGTTGGTGCCCCTACAAGGACCCTGACCCCACTCTGCTGTCCAGCCAGGCATGCCAATGGCCAGGGCCTTTGTTCCTTCGAGATCCAGAGTTGCAACGTTCACAGAAGGAGGGCACCCCTGATCCCAGAAAGCAAGCTACTCCCTTCTCCCTCAAAGAGGCAAAGACTCCCCAGTCTTCTCCCAAATACCTGGGTGCCCCAGGCCTTTGCACTGTGTGCGCCTTGAGAATCCCCATGCAGCCCTCCACTCAAATATATTACTGCTCTCAATGGGCACCTGTGGCTCATACCTATAATCCTACCTGCTCAGGGGGCTGAGATCTGAGGGCTGAGGTTCAAAGCCAGCCCAGACAGAAAAATCTATTTCCAATTAATCACCCCCCAAAAAATAAATAAATAAAAGAGCTGTAGCTCAAGTGGTAGCTTGCCAACCTTGAGTGACTTTTTAGTCACAAAAACAGGAGGTTCTGAGTTCAAGCCCCAGTACTGGCACAATTGATAGATGATAGACAGAGAGGGATTTTGCACCAACTACTGCCTGGGTCTCTTATAGCAGTGCATTTTAGAGAGCTTTGGTTGTTCTAGCAAGGGGAAAGTAAAGCTGGCTTTGGGCAAGAACCAAAGCTTACTCAGATCACGCTGTGCTGAGTGATCTGCAAAAATAAGGAGTGCCAGAAACTGGAGCCTGCCTCCTCTCTCCCACTCAGCCTGCCCTCTGCCCTTAACAGCCTCCATCGGCTGTACCCCTGCCCTCTGCCCTTAGCAGCCTCCATCGGCTGTACCCCGCCGCCCTTTGCAGCCCAGCTCCCATGACCCCTCCCAGCTCTGCTGAGGGCAGTATTGCCTGCTTCCTCGGCTCTATTGGCATAGTTGGGGTTGAGGTTTCTCTCTACACTGGGCTCAGATGAGATCATGTCTTTGTTGTCTCTATTTTCTCAGAAGGAGAGCACGTCCCCTAAGAGGCACTCAGTTTGTGAATGATTGTGCCTAATCACAGCTGCTCACACACTCCCATTTCTGAGTGCCTGGTTGCCTCTCTTCTTCATGCCTGAATTCCCATCAGACACCCTTCCATTTGCTTGCAATAGCAAGGATTCTGTTCTAGAATGCCTTATAGAAGGATGGAGAAGCCAGCTGTTCCATTCACACTGCTTGTATCAAGGGAGGGGTGGCAACCACCTTGTCTCCATCTCCTACCCTGTGTAAGCAATGCCATTCTCCCCACACCTGGGCTCCCAAAGCCCACAGCAGACATCACCAATCGAACACAGCCCTCTGGTTTAGCCCAGCTCATTCTCAGTCCTGGTCCAGCACCACACCGAAGATGATGCTTATTTGCTATGGCAGGATAAAGCTACCCACGGCGTGGTCAGGTACAGCCTTAAGGAGACAATGAACATGAACTCTAAGAGTTCCTTTATGAATTAGAAATTCATGTTCAATGGTGAAGTGCAGTTCACATTTCAGTGAAAGATATTTCTGAGGACTGAGGGCCTAGGACCCAGAGGCAGGGAAATCTTGATTAGAAGGCAGGAGAAAAAAATCTGAAAGGGAAAGAGATGGGTCAGAAGCTCAGAGAGGTTATTAAAGAGACCTCAAATTGTTGGAGGGACCCCTCAGCCTTCTTACTCCTTCTGGTGACTGAAGAAATCTGCTCCCTGGAGCAGGAAGGTCAGACGTGGCAAATGACAGAGGAAAGAAGAGGGAGCTGCCATCCCAGAGTGAGGCAGCACCCAGGTACCAGATCAAGTTTCAGTCTAACTCAGGACAGCTATTTCTCTACATCTCAGTTTCTCCCATGTTGATGATTCATTTTCAACCATCAGGGAAGATTCACTCTCTCACGGTAATCCTGAGGATGTAAATGACAGGGAAATAAGGCTCTTCTCAGAAGGCTGCGCTACCTCCTACCATGGCAGTCACTTTCTAGAGAAGCAGCATCCATGGGGCCTGAATGACCACTGTGGTCTTCTTGTCCCATTGAGGCCACCATCAGCTGGCCCTGCAGGACCTCCCCTTATCCAGGCTAGAGATTTCAGAATAGGGAATGGAACCGGGAAGGTGGGCTAAGGAGATGCTCCCAGCTCCTGGGCCTTTGTGAGAAAGAAATTCACTCAGCAGCCAGTGGGTTACTGCCTTCTGCCAGGCATCTTCATTTGGGAAATAGACATGAAATGGTAATGGCCAACCCCCACCCCACCCCCCACCACCTCCAGGCCCTGCACCACCGTGGGGGGAAGAGGGGTAGAGGTGGGAGAAGAAGTGTGCAAAGAGAGGGCCTGGATTGGTGGGGGTCCCAAAAGGACAAAAGCAGCAGGAGACCCCCTCCCAAATGTGGGCCTCAGGCCCAGCGGCGGCTCCTCCTCAAGCCGAGTCCCGAGGCTGTCCAAAGGCGCTTGTCCTCCAGATGCCAGGCTGCCGTCCTGAGGCATCGGCTTGGCACCCCACAAGGGACATGGCACAGAGCCGGGGGTCAACAGCAGTCTGCAGAACCAATGGAGGGCCACTCTGATGACAGCTCTCCACCATGACAGGTGATACAGGGTCCACAGCTGGGAGTCCTGGAGCTGGGTATGAGAGTCTTGAGTGTCCAGGAGCTGAATCTTCATCCTCAGCCCGCAAGGTCTTCCTCCCTTCTCTCCTGGCCCATCTCCCACACTTGGTCCATGACCACAGCTGCGCCCATCACATGGACCAGTGAGGCCCCCAGCAGCCCAAGTGGGCAGAGAAGCTGAGGAGAAAGAAGAGCAATTAGGGCAGGGGCATCACTGAGTATCAACTACGAGCTGGGGGCATCACAAGAGACTGCCCCAGGCCAAGGAAAAAATAATACAGCCACATCTCATTACCACAGGGGACTGTGCCAGAATGCCCCCAGAGATACCAAAATCTGGATGCTTATGCCTTTCATGTAAAATGACATCATCTTCAGGCACTGGTGACTCAGACCTGTAATCCTAGCTAGCCAGGAAGCCAGGTCTGAGGACGGAGATTCAAAGCCAGCCTAGGCTGGCTTAACCAATAAAAAAAAGCCAGAAGTGGAGGTATGGCTCAGGTGATAGAGCAACAGCCTCAAGCAAAAGAGACAAGCAAGAACACAAGGGCCTGAATTCATCCCAGTACTGGCACTAAATATGTAGTGTGTGTGTGTGTGTGTACATAAAATACATACTACACAATCATAGTTTTTGCATATAATCTATGCATATCTTCCATATCAATCATCTCTGTATTACTCATTATACTTAATATAATGTAAATAACACATAAAAAGTTGCCCTACTGAAAAAGGTCTGCACATGTTCACTCTAACCTTTTTCCCCCCCAGATATTTTCTTATTTTTATGTATTTATTTATTTTTTTTGGTCAGTTGTGGGGCTTGAACTCTGGGCCTGGATGCTGTCCCTCAGCTCTTAAGCTCAAGGCAAGCACCCTACCATTTGAGCCACAGTGCCACCTCTGGTTTTCTGGTGGTTTGTTGGAGATAAAGAGTCTCACAGACTTTCCTGCCCGGGCTGGCTTTGAACAGTGATCCTCAGATCTCAGCCTCCTGAGTAGCTAGGATTACAGGTGTGAGCACCGGCGCCCGGCCTCCCCAGCTATTTTCAGTCTCCAGGGTATTGGTAGAATCCACAGATGCAGAATCATGAACTTGAGCATAGAAGGCCAAGGGTATTTGTGCAACTCGCTGTGGTCAGTAGCATCTGCTTCCTCCCACCCCCACCCCAGGCTTTCAGGGAATCAAGGCAGATCTACTCAGCTCAGAGGGTCTGCCTTACACCCTGCCTCTTAGCCAACCCTCCCCACAATGTGGGAGGAAATGAACAAGAGGATCAAAGGGGCTGGGTACTAGCTGGGCCGCAGGCTCAACAGGACTCTAGTTGTCGGGGCAAGAAGGTGCAGGGTTAGGTACTCCGGGTACTGTGGGAATGGAGTGAGGGTGTGGGGGACACAGGTGTCTGCTGGAGAAGAGAAAACTTCTCAAGCCTTCCTCAACCCAGCTCCTCGTTCCCATGGGGAGGGAGTGGTATCTGGGGAAGAGGGCACTGGGCTGAGTGCCAGGGCCTCTAGGTCCTTCCTCTGAGCTGCCCTGACTACTAATCGACCCCCACCCTCTACCCTGCTGCTCAAGAGAATTAAGACATCACAGATACTAACACATGACCCCATCCTGTCCTCATGCACCTACCCAGCCCCACACCCTCTTCTAACTTCTCCCCTGGTCCCTGGGCCTTAAGTAAAGGACCCTCGTGGGCAGGCAGAGGTACTGGTGGCCTGGCCACAGTCTGCCTCGGGCGGTCCCAGCTCCCCAGCCTTCCCAATAGCTCAGCCCCAAAGCCACTGTCCGCAACAGCAGTGGCCTCAGATAGGCCCTGCCAGGCCCTCCACTGAGTCCCACCTTAGAGCTGAGGCTCACCAACAGAAGGTTATACTGCCTCAATTCAATGCCTAAACTCCATGTTCGCCCTAGCAGACAGAGAGTAGGTTGATCTCCCAGCCTTGGTTCTCCCCAGATGACAGAAAGCCACAGTCTAGGAGCCCTACGGGGGAGGGGGGAAAGGGGAGAGGGGGAGGGTAGAGGCTAGAGGCCTGGGACCTGAGGAAATGCTCAGGCCAGCTGCCTGGACCTGAGTTAGGGCCTCCACCAGCCAGTGGGAACGCCCACCCCCATCCGTTCCCATTGGATCCCATCTGATCTCCGACCCAGGGTTCCCACCTTCCCTTCTCACCCCTGAGTCATATTCAGGACCCTGGGCCCTAGGAGAAAGGCCAGCTCGACTGAGTGGGCCACCAGTCTCCTGGGCTCCTATTCTACTGGCCCCAGAACTTTCCCTGGGATGGTCTGGCTTTGCAGTGGAGTACTGGTCCCCGGTTCTCCTCCTCAGGGTCGGAGGAGGGGAGGAAGAGGGCCTAAGGCTTACCTGGCGTGACCTCTAGGCACCTCAGTGGTGAGGCGCATGAAGGTGAGCTGGTACCCCGGTGGTTTAGGACACGAGGGTCCCGGTCCCCAGGCTCTGCCGGGCGCGCACGGTCTGGATGGCCTGTTGGTTCTTGAACTTGACCAGGCCCAGGGTGATCTGGGCATTCCAGCCGGGGTCTTCGAGGGGGCAACGGAAGTCGATCTCACCGCCGCCCTCGGTCACTAGGGTGAAGTAGATGTGGCGCCCGGTGCTCTCCACGCACTCCACGGCCTTGATGCGGGCGAAGCTGAGCTCTTTGGGCCGGCCGCCGGCGCCCTTGGCCTCGAAGAGCTGCAGCCCGCGCTCGGTGAGCACGCAGCGCTTGCGTTTCCACAGCTGCAGCAGCCCGCCGCTGCGCTTCTCCAGCACGCCCTCCTTCAGCACGGCCGCCGCTGTCGCCGTCATGGGCGCCCGGAGGTCCGAGGAAGCCGGAGGCTGCGGCGGGCGCGGCGCCCCTCCGGGATCGGCGGCGCGGGACTCTGGGCCCTCCCCGCCCCGAAGCCGAAGCTGGCTGGCCGTGCGCCCCGATGGCCCTGCGCGCTCCACCTGTGCCCCGATGGCCCTGCGCGCGCTCCACCTGCGCCCCGATGGCCCTGAGCGCTCTCCACCTGCGCTCCGATGGTCCTGCGCGCTCTCCGGACACCGCCGCCTGCGCAGTGCCCGCCGGGTGCCCACCGTGTGTTTCAGTCCGATCGCTGTCCTCCTCGCTGATCCAGCCTCCCCGCCGCGCCTGCTGGGTCCGCGCGCCTCACCGTCCGCTGGCTCGATCGCTTCCCGGGGCTCGGCGTGCGCGCTGGGCGGCAGCTCGCGGGATGTGTCCTTACATGTTCCGCCGCCCGCCCGCCCGCCGCGCATTCCAGCCTCCCGGCCCTCCCCCGGCGCCTGCACCGCCCGGGCAGAGCTCCGGGGGCGGGGCCGCAGCGGGGCCCGGCCCAGAGGGGCTGCTTATCCAACAGCCAGCCAAGCCTTTGGCCACCACAGGTTTTCCCCCTCCATTCCCCCCCCCCCTCCACACACACACGCACCAGGTCCTGAATGGAAGGGTGGGGGTACGGGAGAGGAGCGAGGTCGCTGCGGGCGGGCGGGGGACGGCCTGGAGGTCGCCTGGTGGGCGGAAGACAGCTGTCGGCTGTTTCCTGGGCCTCAAGGCCCGTGTTGGGTTCCCCATCGACAGATTTTTCTGTGCCTAGACCAGAAGAGGTTGTCCACAGCTGTCCACAGCTTGTACAACCCATCCCCTACCGCTTCTTCGTACCCCCATCTGTTGCAGGGAGAGGGGAGCCAGTGGGAACTGAGGAGAGAGGAGTCTCTGGTGTCACTAATGGCCTCCCTCAGCAGTGGGGAGAAGGGACTCCAGCCAGGACCTGGGATGCCCATGCCTCCAGTCCTCTCTCTCTGGCTGTGCCTGTGGCCTCCTTGCTGCAGATTCTGACCCTCTGGCCCCTACCCCAGAGAATGGGCTTCTCCCTGGACACCAAGCTTGAAGAGAAAGGAAAGCCGCCTCTTTGCAGTGGGCTCCAAGCCTGGCTCTCACCCTTTGACTGCCTCTTCATTAGCCCTCCATTTCCTGTCTATCCAATGGGACAACTAATCTAGCTCATCTCATGGAGCTGCCCTGGTGAATAAGGTACACGTAAGAAATGCCCAGGAGAAGGCCTGGCGACCCCTTGGTCAGGCTCTCCAGGCCAAGGTTTCTTAAAAGTCTATTCACTATCACGTTTTGGTTTTTTAGCAGTCCTAGGGTTTGAACTCAGGGCCTGGCACTTGCAAGGCAGGCACTCTACCGCTGAGCCAAATCTCCAGCCCTTATTTTATACTGCTTATTTTTGAGATAGAGTCTGGCTTCCAGCACTGGGATTGCGTCTGCCCTGTGATCCCCTATTTTAGGGTTTCCTGTTACCTGAGGTGACACGCCATGCCGAGCTCCTTCCACTGAGATGGAGCCTGAAAGACTTTTCTGTCCAAGCTGGCCTCTAACCATGATCCTTCCTGTCTCAGTCTCCCAAGGAGTAGGATTACAGGCCTGAGCCACGTGTGTCTGGCTTCATTGACATGTTAATAATAGATTGTTCTAGGAATCATAAGACATAATGACAGTAAGACAATTTCCTTTTACTCATATCTCTCACATCAGTCCTTGATGAGCAAAAAGTAACAGGCACAGGGAAGTCCAGTTGTGGGCCAAGGGGTTGCCTTCCCCAAAAGCACTAGGCCCAGGGGTAGAGGAAGGCAGCTATTGGTTTCCCATGCTTGATCTCTCCCTAAACACACACACACACACACACACACACACACAGAACGGCTAACCCCTTGCTCCCAGAATGCCCCTCTAGGAGAGGAGACAGTACCATAATAGAAGAGAAACAAGGTGGGTGTCAGCCACACCCTGCTATGACACCTCCAACCCCCTCCACCATCCTTCCATGGGAATCTCCTGAGCATATCACCTTGCAGAGTCCTGCCATGATCCACCTTCTCTCCTTGAGAAAGTGGCTCACGCCTATAATCCTAGCTATTCAAGGAGGCTGAGATCTGAGGATCTTGGTTCAAAACCAGCCCAGGCAGAAAAATCTATGAGACTCTTATCTCTAACCACCAGAAAACTGTAAATGGTGCTGTGCTTCAAAGTGGTAGAGTGCTAGCCTTGTGCAAAAGAGCTCAGGGACAGCACCCAGGTCCTGAGTTCAAGCCCCATGACCAACAAAAACAAAGAAAGATAGTGGGCTATAGGCCAGCTCCTACCACTCCCTCTGCCTAGTGTCTATCTCTTCCTCCTCTCCCCACACCTGGGCACAGACTCATCCATGCCTGCCCAGTTCTGTGTTAATTCCCAAGGTTTTAAGCATTACAGAACACTCTCACATTTTAGATTGTCATGATGTATGGGTATTATTATTTTGCTTATTTTTCTGATGAGAAAGAATGAGATACAAGGTCAGGCAACCAAAATGAAGCTGCAAAGTAAAAAGCTTTATAAGTGAAAAACCCAGACTGAGAATGTTGGGGGCTCAGAGGACTCATTATATAGATGCTTACGCTTACAGAAGCCTCTCAGCATCTCAGATGCAACCTGGCCACCGTAGTTTGCTCTTCAGCTACTGAGGGCTGAAGGCTTTTGGACCCATAAGAAGGAGGGAAGGCATTGGAACATGTGTGTGGGCAAAGAAGGGCCATAGGCAAAACCCCAGCAGGGTATACTCTACTGTTGGGATAGCTGCCAACTAGACATTTGGTTCCCAGCACCACCACGTCTTCCTAAGGGCCTGAGTCGGTCCTTGGAACCTGAGAGTCCTGTCCGCCAGTCTCATGACCTCCTGGGCCTAGAGGAGATGACTCATCACCCACAATTGGCATCTTGTCTAATAGCTCCATCTGGGAGACACTGGGGCTCAGGTTGGATTATTTGGGTATCAGAAGATCACAAAACACTCGGGCACTAGGAGGAGCAGGCTGCCCAGGGGCCGGTGCCTGAACTCCTCCTGAGAAATGAAAGCTCCAACTGGGTTGACTTGGGTCACTTGGTTGGGGAGGCATTGGGCCTGGGGATTCTTCCTCGGTTCTTATTGACTTGTTGACTCTCTTATTAGACAAATGGACAGAATGTCCTCCATTTGCTGCCTGCAGTTGGCTCCTTCTTCTTCCCGTCCCAAAGGGAAAGCTGATCTTCCCTGTCAGTCAGTCAGAGTTCAACTGGAGCGGACTGGCAGGACTCTAAAATGGCACCAGGAAGACTCAGCTGGGTGGGAAAGGCTGTAGCGAGGTTAGGTCACCCCACCCTGTAGGGAGAGGAAGGGGACCACTTGGAGAAGGGTTCAAGTGGAAGAAAAAAAAATGGAAGAAGGTGAGGTGAAGGCAAACATGGGACCTGGAGAGATTCAAACAGAGCTCCTGTTTTCTACAGTCTAAAATCTGAACACAAATGAGGTTTTGGAGTAAAAACATTGATTGGCAAACTAAGGAAAGCACTGGAGCTCTGAAAGGAAGCAGATGGTAATGTGGAGGGAGCCACTGGGCCAGACAGTGCGAAGGCAAGTACAAGGGCCCTGAAGAAGGGGAACTAGCAGGTCAAGGGTTGGTGAGGAGTGTGTGAGCAGGGACAGGGAGGGGAGAGGTCAGAAAGTTAAGAGCCACTCCTGGAAGGCCCTGCAGGCGACATGGCTGTCATTTGATTTACTCCGAGTGACATGAGAAGGCTCTGGTGGAGTTTGAGCAACATCTTATTTTGGTTTTAAAGTTGTTGTTTTTGTGTGTGTATATGTGTTTGCTCAAGGCTAACATTCTACCATTTGAGCTATAGCTCTACTTTCAGCTTTGTGTGTGTGTGTGTGTGTGTGGTTAATTGGAGATAAAAGTCTCGTAGATTGTCCTACTCAGGCTGGTGTTGAACCATGATCCTCAGCCTCTTAAGTAGCTAGGATTACAGGTATGAGCCAGCAGCGCCCAGAAGCCAGTGCTAACGTGGGAACATGCTCCCTACCGAAGGAGAGAGTCCTCCGCTAGGGGACAGGACACTCCAGGTAATAGCAGTAATCTCCAGGACACCTTGAAGAACCATGTCCCTTCTCTGACCTCGGTTTCTCCATCTGTCTTGTAATTTTAGTATGGAATTCCAGGAAAGGTTGAAGTTAAGAATACCCCAGATAGGCAGGAAAAGAACTTAGAACTTCATCGGACCAGGTAGCCCCTCCTTGCCTAGATAGGGCAGGAAATAGTTCCCTCCCCCCCTCAGTATCACAGCACCCCCAGATCACAGTTCCCTCCTTGCTCTTCTCTCCCACCCCCAGCTTCCTAAAACATCTCCCAACCCGTTCATACAGCTTTGATGTATAGCCCTTTGTTCTGATACTTTGGGTTTTTCTCCAATCTCTGTTTTTCTTTAAAAAAAAAAAAAAAGAACCCAAGTCTCAAGTCTCTAATGGCTTGGGTTTTATGAGCACCAATTACGACAGACCTCAAGTGGGCAGAGCCTGTGCTGCTGACCAGCCCGGGCCTGCTCCTGGGCTTGGCTTTCTCCCTGGAAATCCCCTCCCACGCTCAGCCTTTTAATCACTTTCCAGCCCAATAACTTTCCTGATTCACCAGCGAGCCCTTTCGTCTTGAGAGCGCCCACTGCCCCTCTCTGATGAGGCTGCGTCTGGGCTTGAAGGCATTTGATCCCAGCTTGGGTCTGATGGAGATTGGATTTGTGGGCTCGGGGTTCAGGTTCAGGCCTGTAGAATTTTTCCTTTTCCCATGCCGTCTTGGTAGCTGGGTGTCCATGTTGCTGGAGCAAGGGGGTTGCCCCAAGATAACTTTCAGGGATGCTGGGCCAAGGGAGCAAGGACACTGGAAGGAGACTGACTGGGGTCCAAGGAACAAAGAGGCCTTCTCTGATCTTCCAGGAATATCTGAGCAACACTCAACATGCCAGTCATTTCTGTTTCATAGCATACTGGCTCTGTCTCTAGCTCTGTCGGTCTGTCTCTCTGTGTCCTATGCTGGGATTTGAGCTCTCAAGACCTCATCATTGTTAGGCAGGAACTCTACCTCTTGAACCATGCCCCCAGCCCTCTTTGCTTTATTTTACTAATCGGATCTGTTTATGCCCTGCCCCAGACTGGACTGTGATCCTCTTGTTTACACTTCCAGAATATCTGGGATGACAAACACATACCACCACACCCAGGTTTTATTGGCTGAGATGGGAAGGGCTCCTCAAAAACTTACTGAGGCTGGCCTTGAACTGTGATCCTCCTGATCTCTCCCTCCTGAGTAGAAGTATAAGTGTGAGCCACCAGCAGCCAGCTTCTCTTTACAGTTAATAGTAATAATATATTGCAAATGTAAATGATGTAGTCATGTAGGATAGAGGCTTATTGAGG